GATATGTAACATGTGCGGCGTAATGGGCGCAATCATCGTTTTTCACGCAGGAGCACCCAACGCATGTTTGCATGTGTATGTGGGGATGGGGGACTTTAAAAAAAAAATCTTGTGGTTTTTTCGTGTGACTTTGATTTTTTGTGACTTTCTTTTTTTTACTTTTTTTTTTTACACTTAACTTTACTATTATCACATAGGGGCTTAAGAAGCCCCCTATCTGATATCAAATTACAGTGACAGGTCCTCTTTATGGAGACATCAGGGGTCTATAAAATCCGTAATGTTATCTAGGGACCCTCAAGAAAGCTGATGAAATAGAGATCTGCTTAACCAGCTTCTCTCCGGCTACAGAGACAGCTGAATGCGGAAGTTATGTAATAAACGTCACTTCTGCATTCACAGAATGGGGGGAGATAAGAGGGAGATCGTGTACTGAGCTCCCTCCATTCTCCTTGCACAGAACCACGATGCTGTTCCCGGGCCTGCACGGAGCACAGGGAGCCCCGGATCGCAGCAGCGGCGGAGGTAAGAGGGGGGTGCACGAACATACTTCATACAAGCGATCGGGCATCTCTACAGACGCCGAACTGCTTGTATGTAAACAGCCATCGCTGGCTGTTTAAAATTTTGACAGTTTCCCGCTCGTGCATGGGCACAAAGGACGTTTTAAGATGACCACCTGCATCTAGAAGGCTCCCGTCCAGCCGTTTTGCTATATTCGGCGGGAGGTGGTTAAGATAAAAAAGCATGCCAGGTTGCCCCCTGAAATGATCAGACCCTTGGAAGATATGTGCTTAATATATATACATTACAACTTCTTTACTGTAACGTTACACTAGCTGGACATTTTCCACTGCAACTAGAGAGAGCAAAAGATTCCTATTCCCCCTTTCTCATTGGAAAATTAATATAAAGTCCAATAAGCGTACATTTAAAATAAAAGTAGTCTTGTTACTGTATTGGTGATCGTAGAAGAATACAACAACAGCCTCTGTTCCAAGAAGGACCACAGGATAGTTACATTTTTTTACACTTTACTTTCACTTTTACTTAACTGTATTGCTATCACAAGGTGGCTAACAAGCCCCCTATGCAATAACATTGTAACAGGTACTCTTTATGGAGACATCAGGGGTCTAGTAGACCCTTAATTTTTACCATACCTTCTGCTCCAGACAAACTAGCCACAGACATGTGTTCAATCAGCTGTTTACCCAGCTTTGCAAGCAGGATTTTGATAGCTCTAAACCGAAAATGTACGGAGCTGAGCGCTTCCAGGTTCACATTCTGAGAAAATTGGGGTAATGGATGTTCCTTAAAGTTCTCCTGCTTGCCACTATGACAACATTTATTACAGTCCTGGGCTCTTGGGCTTCTTCCTGGGAACACCTAACAAGTTACATAAAAGAGATTAGATGTTTTACAACTGCACGAATTACTTTTACAAAAAAAGCCCCATGTCTGCTGCAAAAAAACAGCATAAAATAAAAACAAGCTCATTGCTGAAAAATAGAAACAAGCTTGTTTTAACAACTTAAAAGCCTATACTTACCAGACTTGCCCAAGTTGCTCAAGAGGTTAAAAAAGAACTCCAGGCAGTTAAAAACGTAATCCTTGCAGTGTGGCTACACCTGCTGTGCAAGGGTTAAGTGCTTATTTTAGCCTAGGGTGTAAAATAAAAAAAAGATATACTGACCCAAACCTCAGTCTGGTGGCAGTAACTGCTCAGCTCTCTTCTGGGTATGGGCAATTGCACTGCGGGCGTAGGGCATGGGTGCGGTGCCATTGACTTTGATACAGCCCCACACCCCTTTCTGCCACTGAATGCAGGGAGCCGGCCGGCTTGTGTTCCAGTGCGTTTTAGAGGCCAAACACTCTGGAGCGCAGACTTTATGGTGTGAACTGGCCCTTTTTCTTGTCTGTCTCTTCTCTCTCTCCTCACGCTCTCTCTCCTCGCTCTCTCCCCTGTTTCTATCTGCTGTCTTTTCTCTCACTTTCTCTGCTGTCTCTTCTCTCTCTGCTGTCTCAACTTTCACTTTCTCTGCTTTCTCTGTCTCTCCCCTGTCTGTCTTTTCTTACATCCACTGCAGCAGCTTCCCAGGTCTCCTCTTATGCGCCGGCGTCCAGTCCTCCCGCGGTGCTCGTGTGGTCAAATGTGGCCGACGTTGCACAAGGCGAGAGGTGTCCCGCCCTTCCCTTCTGTGGCGTCTGACACATTCAGCCGGCAGCCACATGAGCACCAGGGGAGGACACAGCCAATCGCGATCTACCAGTGTTCGCTTTGCGAACGACTGGTAAATCACGATCGACCTAATGGGCACCCCTGCTCTAAGAGAACTATTGATGAAAATGGTCAGGCTTCTGCTGTGAAGGCCAAGCAATGTAAAGAACATGACAAGGACCCCCTCCCACCCCCCATTTCCATTGCTTATGAAGGGCAATTAGTTTTAATTATTACATAGAAGTGTTAAATCTTTTCTTTTTTCAGAAAACCATATTCATAGGTTTGATCATTAATGCTTAACCCTGTGAACATTTTTATTCATTTTGGATAGGAAGAGATGCTTTGTCTTAATTGTATATTAAAAAATAGCACAGCTGCTTCCATCCTTTGTGGATAAAAATAAGAAGCAGGCCCCAGCAGTGTAAAAAATCGAAACAAAAACAACTATTTCGACATAAGATTCCACTATATGCATTTTAGGAGATCTGACCATTATTCGAACCAACCTTGGTAATTAATGAGGATGTAATACACAATTGTAAGGTACATAATTAATCAGCCTTCTTCCTTTAAGTTTTATTTCAAGTTAATCAGTCTACTTCATTAATCAACATATTCTGCTACAAGTGCTGTTTGCTTAGTGTATGTGTAATACAATCAGTGCTTATGCCATGCTTTATGTTCTATCATTTTTACTAGTACACTGAATTATTACAACCTAAGCTACTAATTAGCTCTGGCAATCAATAACATCTTAATTGTAATCATTGCTATTTAGTAGATTGTACTTTCACACACTTCTTTAATTATACAGCATTAATTAAATTGGCATTACACAAAGAGTATATACTGCACATATTTTATTAGGATTAAGATGCTAATTACATTTAATTATGTATCTCTGATTAAGTTAGTTTTTGATGAATACCTGTACTATGAAAACGTAATCTGCAAATGTTTCCTAAATTGTGTCTTTTTAAATAAATGTCAGATGTAATTTAAATACCCTAAAACAAAATTCAATAACTTATATGAAATAAAGTCATATTTTCCCAGCGAGATACATATACTGTATATGTGTAACTTATACTTAGTGAATAGTAATGCAAACTTTTTGAAGATTAGTGATGGAATCATTTGTACAAAATATTCTGTAAAACTGTTGTTGTAAAACACACATATAAAACATGTTGTTTTCACACTACTACTAAGTCACATTACAAAGGAAAAAAACATAAATGAAAAACACATGCCTGCAGTCTGGTCCGGTGCGATCAAAATGCAGCAAGCACTATTTTGATCGCACGGGACCGGACCGCAGGCATAATGTGCGTTGCGATCCCATGTGGCTGATCGCATTGTGGCCGGAGGTTGTGGCTACGGTGTTATTCACTTCAATGGACCGCCACGCCCCCTCCTGCCCCACAAAAAAAGGTAGCCGGCCGCAATGCGAGGCAGTGCGTTCTGGCCAGAATCGGGCCGGAACGCACTGCATCTGGTGTGAACAGGCCCTCAATTTCACGCATATCAGCAGGTATTTTTCTGTACTTGCAGCATTTGCAAGCAAGAGACAAACCATAGAACAATGTGCATGTATTGTAGAGATGTACTGAATATGATTTTTTTTATTTTACCCACACATTATAAATAGTATAATGGAGAACCAAAGCACTGATTAGAATGTACAGTACTATATACATTAGGCCATTGTGATATTGAGTCTAAAATTTCATTAATGGCATTGCCACACTTTACTTTTTATGACAGCAGGAATGTTTCCTCATGATTGCCATTCAGAAGTTATAAGTCATTTGTAATATAGTAGTTAATTTAGCCAGTTGCCACCATTGGAAGTAAATGTTCTGATAGTTAAACAATTGATCCACAACCTTGAAGTACAGTGATCAAAATATTAAATATTGAAATAGTCTACTGTAAGCAACTGCCATATTTTAGTTTCCATGACAGCAGAAATGTTTCAGCTTGATAGGCACCTAGAACATATAAACAATATGGAATAATATTAATAGCAAGCAATATGAAAAAGAATAATGTTAATACAGTCTTTGTCACTGTTAGAATGTAAATGTTGATATTTTTAAATATTCTGGACAATAAGCAACTTCTAATACAACAAAGGCGGTTAATAATACAAATATAGTTGCCTTATTTTCATGAAATGAAAATTCTTAAATTACCAACAAAGATAATGTACACTCTTTTTGTTCATCAGTGAATTGTGTAGCAGAACATTGTGTTTTATATACTTTCACAGCGTTCTGAAAGATTTTAAATTTTTATGCTACTTGTAAATAACCTCAACATGAAAATAATATTTTATTTAAGGTGAATGTAAAGGCAACATATTACAAACTCTCTAAAACAAGATAGTTTATTTCCACATGGTTTCTAGATTGTTAGGAATGCATAATTTGTATTGATTGCTTGTTATATTATGAATTGCAGTATCCCTTATGCTGAAAAGTTAAAACTAAACTCTGCCAATTAAAAAAATACCTTTCTAGTGCTCTCTAAGAGTAAAATGCTAGTTAAGTATAGTGAAACAGGAATAAGCTGTAATAATACCTTACTCCTCGCTTTGGCAGGCTTCCAGCACTCACCTCTTTTCTCTGATGCTCTTACTACCGCCACAATATTTTGTCTTCCAAATAATGCATCCAGAAACAAAGCAGACACTAGTTATCTGGTTTGCTCTTTTAAAGTTACAGGTGGCTTGATATTATATACCATTTTTTAAACCTCTTTTGTATTTCAGGGGAATATGGTGAAATTTGCAAGGGTTGCTTGAAACTTCCAAGCAAGAGGGAGCTTCCAGTTGCCATACAGACCCTCCGAGCTGGCTGCTCAGAGAAACAGAAGCGCTCATTTCTGGCAGAGGCTAGCATAATGGGACAGTTTGACCATCCCAACATCATACGCCTAGAAGGAGTCATTACTAGAGGTGAAAAAAATGTTAGAGTGTCCATTAGCTTATCCAGTCAACTAGCCATGCATCTCATCCAATGTTTTAAATTCATGTACATACAATATTTATATTGTGCAGTTTTCCACTATTATCAATCATTGATTAGATTTAGTTTTTTATTTTATGTATTGATTATAACAATTTGCCAAATTAGTGGTAGCAGGCTGCAATGTTTACAAAGACCCTGTCACCAGGTTACACTTATAAATGTTTACCCTTTAATGAATACTATAAAACGTATACATGTGTATCCAATACAATTTTGACTTGATGGTTCTGGTTTTGTGTTTTTTTAATTGAAGACCTACAAAGTTAATAATAAGCTGATGCTTCCATGAGTGTTGGATCCTACTCTCTGCACACCACCTTCTTCCGATATGTAATAGCTCCAAGAACAGTACTTAAAGCTGTAATGAAAGTACTCTCATCATGTGGCCCTTACAGGCCTATTGTGACTCTATACAGAGCTTGCAGGGTCACATTGTATCATAATTGCTATTCCCTGGTGTAAATAAATATATATATAGATTAGTTAATTACCTGCAGAATGGGTCTTTAACCTCCCTGGCGGTAATCCCGAGTCTGGCTCGGGGTGAATTTTCAATGCTAGGAGCGGTAACCCCGAGCCAGACTAGGGGCTGCAGAGAAAAGTGACACTCACCTTGTCCCTGCGAGCCCGCGGCGTCCTCTGCTGTACGCGGCCCGAAAATGAAACTAAAAGCCGGCATCTGACTTTTAGTTTCGTTTTCGGGCGTCACAGCCGGCGGGAAATTCAAAAGTGAAAAGTTGCAATGTACACAGAATACACACAATACAATGTAATCTGCTATGATTACACTTATGTATCAAACTATTTCACTTCAATTTTGTCCCTAGAGCTTTGTCCAGTGCCCTGCCTGACACTTTTTCACAATTATAAGAAATTATAATATAATAAATAATTATAAAAAATTATAATAAAATAATTAAAAAAATGGTCCAGTAAATGGGAATTCTGGGGTCGTTGCCTGATCCGTACCACAGTAAATAAAGTACCAAGTTCGCACATCACTGAGCTCGGTCGCAGAATCCTCGCTGTCCTCACTTTCAGTGTCTGTTGAGGAATTTCCCAACGAATCGCTATCACTCAATTCTGCAAGTAGTTCTAATTTACTATCGCTGTTTTCTACCTGGTCTAAAACCGCTTTTGACCTAAAACAGCGACGATTCTGCGACCAAGCTCAGTGATGTGCGAACTTGGTACTCTATTGACTGTGGTACGGATCAGGCTGAGCCCCCAGAATTCCCATTTACTGGACCATTTTTTAAATTATATTATAATTTTTTATAATTATGTATTATATTATAATTTCTTATAATTATTTATAATTTATTATATTATAATTTTTTAATTTTGTGTTTCAAACTTTATCATACCTGGGATGTCTACTGGACTCTTGTTTGGACAGATTTAGGTGAGTTATTCCTAAGATTTACTAAGAATTACAGGCCTACAATATAAACAACATTTTTCCATGCAAAAAATTGTACCGCTTTTGGTACAAAATTCCTGACATACCGCCAGGGAGGTTAAACAGGTTTGGACAAGTCTTGGCCAAACCTGTTTAAAGCCCCGTTCTGACCTTTGAGGGTCAGATATTAACAAAACTTTCCTTACAGCCTTCTATTGTTAAGCAGATCCTGCTGGGACTTAGATAAACTGGTAATGTTCAGCATATTCCGCAAATCCCATAATTGACAGATTCCAACATTAACATTTTCATTGGGAAATCAATATACTGATTTGTCCTTGTATTTTAATCCAGGCAGCAGTTATGTCTTACATATATGTTGAAATGTGTAATAATCATACAGCTTTCACTATTTTACAGGTAATACAATGATGACTATAATGGAATATATGGGTAATGGCGTTCTGGATTCCTTTATAAGGGTATGTAATTCTTAAATTTAAATATCTGTGCTTTACTTAAGCACATTAAAGGGTCAGTCCACCCAAACTGATATTGTATTTTGGAATAGATATCAGCAGTAAGAATTACCTATTGGTGGCTTGTAGTTCTGGGAACTCTTATGGCAATTGATTACAAATATCACTGAGATTACACTTTGGCTGGGATTCTCCAACCACCTGATTCTTGTAATTGGCAGAAAAATGCACATTTATCTGTTACATATAATTGTTTTCCAAAATAAAAGACCAATATAATAATAATATGTTTTATAGCAACGTTTGATGATGCTAGTGATGGATCATCGGGTATTTTATAGGACATGAAGAGAAAATTACATGCACAGCATTATTAATTTGTATTAGTACATATACAGTACACATACATGTATTTGTTATCTTAGGGTTAACATAAACTTTAACATTTAATGCTCCATAATATTGTGCATCTCAAAGTCACAGTTTACTTATTTTGAGGGATTCCCAATTCATCTACAATTGTATATAGACCTATTAGTGTTGCAGGAGCAATAAATGTGACAATGCATAATGCTTTTCTAGATTTATTTGCCTTTTTGACGTGGAATTTATTGCAGATATTCTCACAGTGTATACACTTTTTTTGGGATAAACTGTTAAAGCATTTGGTTAGGTTATTTTCACTGTCTGTTTCTCCTCTGGGGAGATTTACACCACTTTACAGTTGTCACTGAAACAGTAATAAAGGGGAAGTGACAACTGTCTATGAAGAGATTTTCTCTCACTTTGAAGAGAGTTCCTCTTATTTCCTTTTGTGTTTCTCAGACAGGAATTAAAGAGAAATGTCCCCAATTACATTTTCATAACCACCTAACCTGGAGAACATGGTTGCAGCATAGTTGCTTGTGCCATATTGAGGCTGATTTGCTAAAGGAGGTCACTCATAAACTTGTGTGAATATTCACTTTAGTTATCTAGTTATGAGAAAGTCAAATTTGTATTCACTTTAAAGTAGTATCAAACTCTCAAACTTTTTTAAATAATGAATCCTGCTCAATTAACCACCTTTTGCCCGATTGCATGCAGGAGCTGCGGGGTGTGCGCCCCCCATACCTCCGTCGCCACCGCCTCCTCGCCACCACTGTCAGTTCCGAGATCCACTGTGCCTGGTGCAGCTCTCAGTGGAGATCAAAGGAAGGTCAGTACACGATGAATGCAGTACATCACTTCCTGCATTCAGTGTCACTCTCGGTTACAGCTGCCAGTGAGAAGCTGATGAAGCAGATATCTGCTTTTATCAGCTTCTCTGGGGGTCCCTATGTTAGCATTAGGGGTCGTATAGACCCCTGATGTCTCCATAAAGAGGACCGGTCATGTGAATTGGCTATCACATTGGGGATTTCTTAGTCCCCTATGTGATAGCAATAAAGTTAGGTGTAAAAAAAGTTTAAAAAAATTAACACATAAAAAAAAAATAGAAGCTAAAAAAATATTCACAAATAAAAAACAAATGTAAAACAACACAATTTTTTATAGTCCCCGCCCCCCAAATACACACGCAAACATGCGTCGGGTTCGCCAACGTGCGAAAACGATGATTGCGCCTATTGTGTGTTACATATCGCCATGAATGTTGTAGTGAGAGCAATAATTCTAGTGCCATTAATTACTGATAACACTAAACTGATGAGCGGTAAAAGCAGGTGTTTTTTTTACAAATTTTAGGGTACTTTTTTTGTTATATAGTAAAAAATAAAAAACCCAATTGTGATTAAATATCAGCAAAAGAAAGCTCAATTTGTCCCCAAAAATTGGTATAAAATTTGTTTCAGTACAGCGTTGCATGACTGAATAACTGTCAAAGTACCACAGCGCTGAATACTGAAAAACGGCTCCACAAACACTTAGGCACAGTAAGGCAATCCACTCGCCTGCTCCCTGCTCCCTGCTCCCTGCTCCCTGTTCTCTGCTCCTCCTTCCTCCCTTCTCCAAGCTAGTAGATGGACAGTTGCTGTAGACTTCTCTGTCTCTTGTGATCTTTTACTGGAAAGTAGAAGTTCAGGAAAACTGAGCTGAGAGAGTTGAAGTCAGCTGTTCAGAAACATGAAACTTGTGTTTGGGCAAACATTTAAATAAATACTTTGCTGGGCAATGTATATTTAACCACTTGAAGACCAGGGTGTTAATTCTCCAATTATGCTCACTTTCCAGTTCAGCTATTTTGGCCTAGATTGTTCACTTCTCCTGCCTTCTCCAAACTCTTTACCCTTTTGTGAATAGACCTGTAAATACTTAATCTTGTTCAAAAATACTTTCCACGTGATTGGATAATTAAAGTCAATATTCACACTTTTGTTTGGTAAAGATTCTGACCTCTTTTAATAATGCAGCCCAATTTTCCTATTTAGCAGTGAGTCTAACGAATTATATATATACATACATATATATATATATATATATATATAGTAATTATACATGGTTTTTTATAGTCAAACAGTGAGACTGATTTACTAAAAAGTTGAGAATTTTCTCAATAGATAGTGTCAATATCTAGTTTATTTATCCAATCATGTAAAAAGAAATGTTGAAGTGGATATTCACAGAAATATGGAGATTCTCAACTCCTTTAGTAAATCAGGCCAAGTGTGACTTTTCATGTCATTTTGATAAAGTGTGTTTACATAGCTATTAAATATAGGCATGTTGCTTGCTTTGGACAAAGAGTGGGACGTGGCAAAACTATTTTCTGTCAAGCTTGTTTTACCTTACAACTTGAAACATATACTGATAAAAGGAAAAATAAGATGAAGAGCACATTTTATTTTGTTGTTTGTATTGCTGCTTTTATTTTTCATCACATAAATATAATTCTTTGGAGACGTGCATTGCTAACAATGTGTGTAGGCTGACATCCTTTATAAAGCCCTGGCTATTATCTTAGTAGAATACATCAAGGACAGTTGTCCACTTGAAACCCTGAGGCTTTTAGGCTGAATATTTGTGTGTCGCATTGGTTTGTTGTATTATTCCATTTAAAGCTAGAAAATTAAAATTCCCTCCCCTTCAGCACTTATGCAGCACATGAAAACCACAGACCTTAATAGAGAGATTGTGCTTGGAAAAAACATAAGAGGTGCAAAGAAAATAAAAGGTTGGAAGGGGGAAAACAAAAGTAAAACAGCAGAGTTTTTTGTGAGCTGATTATGACAAAGCACATAGAGCATTTACAAGACAACAAGCATATAAGCTTCAGGCTGCGTGATTGTGTAAAAAGCACATTTGTATCAGTCTAAATGCTTCCAACTATGTACTGCTTCTGCAGGTTTATGAATATGTTGTGCTGACTGGGAGCTTGTCTGTTATGTGGCATTTTATTACATTCTATGAAGTCTCCTGCTACTATCCTCTGCTATGCTAGTTATCTCATGTGGGTTTATGTAGTAGTGCAGCCAAAAGAACAATGATAATGCACAAAGCCCAGTAACCCGAATCAGTTGATCAATCAAATAGGCAAGTCTGATATTTAATGCACAATATGAAGTCATTAATGCAAAGGAGACTATTTATAAATAAATTGAATGTTTTTTGTATTCTCAGATAGATTAAACTAGGAATCTATTTAGTAAACATGGGCTACAATTCCAATTGTCTTCCTGTTTTTCTTATCCAGTTTTATTTGTGAACACAATAATGATCTTCAGCAAATACTGTTTTTGCAAAGTATAATTTATAAAAAAAAAAAAGTTAAAGTGCTCCTGAATAAACATTTTAAAATAGTACTGAGAAACAATATGTACAGCATATTTCAATAGTTCTTAAACCGTGTTTTATAAATAATTTATTATGTAACTGGGGTGTTATTTTTCTTATAATATTATGAATTATGACATCCGTAGATAACTATGATTTAACTGGAAGTTTTTTCCCCAAAAAAGGATGCTACTAAATTCACAATGATTATACCACTATACATTTATAGCCACTAATTTTTCCTCCTTTTTTTAACTGCTGAATGCATTCTCTTGTGCATTAAATGTTTATAGTAAAATGTCCTAAAGGCAGGTTCATATTAATAAATCAATGTATCATTTTATTGTACTGTAGATGTAGGAGGTTTTTTGGACTGGTAGATTTGGGCAAAAAAAGAGCACCATTTACTTAAAGTGCACCTGTGTCCAGACTATAGGCATTAAAAGAAAACTATGGCTAAACCCTTTTTGGCCGTAGTGCTCTTTTGGGTCATTTACAAATGTCCTCCTGTGACCAAAAACTGAGCATATAGTGGGTGGGCTATTGCCCGTTATATGCTGACAGCACGGAGCCACACTGCAGCCAGGAAGGATCCCAGCAATATTGTCGGGATCCACACCGCTACCTGATTGACAGCTGATTTTACTCTCTAGAGGCAGAACCAGCTGTTCCCATCCCCTCCCCATCTGTCCCTCCAGTCAGCACTGGAGGAATAGAGAGGGGAGGGGGGAACCCCTGCAGGGAGAGGATCGGAAACTCAGCGAGAGCTCCAATTGATGATGAGTGTATTTCACTTTCCCCATGATTCTCCTTTAAGAGGCAGATCCAGCTATACCCACACCATCCCCTGATTGTACCTCTAATGAGCTCTGGAGGAACAGAGAGGGGAGGAGGAATCCCTGTGGGGAGCAATGACTGACAGTCACCAATCTCTGCAGGGAGAGGTTCATGAACTGAGCATTCAGAGGTTTTTTATCACTCAGTTCTCAATCTATAGAGCTGTGATCCTTAAGCTTCGGCCCCAGGGCCCCTTCGGTTCTACTGAGCCCGTGAGCCCGTTCACTATAGCCCGTACAGCTCCTGAAGTCATCTCACGGCTGGCTCAGGCCACTTGCACAGACAGATCAGCATCCCTGGTTACCAGGTAACCAGGAACACTGATCTCCTTACAGCCCAACTCTCCCGGGTGCTCCGGGAGTCTCCCGCTATTAGATTGCGGCTCCCAGCAGCCCAGGAGAGACTGCCGTCAGAATAAAAACAAAAAAAAATAAGAAAAATCACCATAGGAATGCATAGCTATTGCACCCACCCACTGCTGCTGTTAATCAGCAGAGGGGACCTGAAGTTCTCCATCAGGTCCCCTCTAGTAATTTACAGCAGCAGAGAGCGGGTGCAACAGCTAGTTTGCTATTGGCTATTACAAAGTGAAATAGCCAATAGGAATCTAGCTATGCATCTCTATGACGATTTTTATTTTTTTTTAATTTTTATTCTGACTGCAGCAGAACTGCCCGGCCAATAGAAAATAGTTGGGTGGTGCTAGCTGTCACTGCTAGCTCCGCCCAATCATTTTCTATTTTATTTTTTACTACTTTTTTAACTGTTTTTCTATTCTGCTCGGTTCCACAGAGGTACTGAGCAGAACAGCCGAGCTGAATGCAGCTCGGTGGCATTCGGCTATTCACTCACTGCTGTTCGGCATCTATGAGAATAGGCTGAACAACAGCGAGTAGACTGCTGGAGGTTCGGCTTAGCCGATCCAGATGTTGGATCAGCTGAGTCGAACTCCTTCTGCACTTCGGGTCGGCTGAACATGTTGAGCATGTTCGGCTGCCCCAAAGCCAGCCGAAGCCACCAGGTGTATGGCTTATTTCAGCCGTACCAGCCTGAAGTGAATAGCCAAACAGCGTTCGGCTCACTTTGCTTCGGTCCGGGTAGTCACTCGGCTGCCTACGGCAGGTTAGTGAATAGACCGTATAGACTTTTGTTTCAGAGGATGATATTTGGGATTTTCATTGATTTGGGGGTGAATTGTTTTTTATGCATTTTATGTTGATGGAGCCTTTTTTTCTAGGTTGGATGTTAAACTGGAGCATTCACTTGTTACTGTCCATCTTTTGTTCACAGCATGCCACTGCATTGTTTGAAAGTTAAAAAAAAAACCTGAGTTCAATAACAGGGTGCACCTAAACCACCTCACATTATATCACATTTTATCACATTCAAATCACCACCCTATCCCCATAGATAGAACAAAACTTAGGCATACAAGAGGTCTATTACCCCTGAGCTAATGCTTAATAAAGTTTGAGAAATTGTCATCAGCGAGAACAAGCACAATCACAGCAAACTACTGGCCAATTTTTATCTGCCAATAAAAGTGGACTTATTAATGTTTGATGAAAAGCTTGTAATGCTGCCTAAGCTACTTAACCTTCCAGGTGGTATTACCGAATGTGGCTCGGGGTTAATTTTCATTACCAAAAGCGGTAACCCCGAGCCACACTCGGGATTACACAGCACGTTACTTACCTTGTCCACGATCCCCGCTGTGTCCTCCGGCCGATGCCGGCATCCATCTTCCGGGTTCCGTCCCTTGCGAGTGTTCACGTCGCAGGGGGGGAGGCGGAACCGGCGGGAGATTTAAAAATAAAAAAAATTAAATTAAAAAAAATAGAAACAAAAAAGTAAAAAAGAATGAAATAATCAGACCGCCAGGGAGGTTAAAAAAATACAAAAAACAAACATACTATTTTGTGGAGTTGTTGCCCCAAAGCCACATTAAAAAAAAAGTGCAATATTTTTTCGCTTTGGTAAATGCATTGGTAAATGTCCCTCATGGCAGCGCCCAGCTTCCTATGCCTTTTAATTGGAATTACTTTGACAATTATCCCTAAAAATGGGTAGAATTTAACAATAACATTTGCCTCCTTTAGGCTTCAACGGGATTTAGCTCAGTTCGGGTTAGCTGAATTCTGAGCAAAAGTCACTGAACCCTTGGGGGATCTAACCTGGGCAATTTACCCATCACTATTTCTTATAGCTTAGAAACATGTATTGTATGTTTACAACTTTTCACTTTTGAATTTCCCGCCGGCTGTGACGCTCGAAAACGAAACTAAAAGTCAGATGTCGGCTTTTAGTTTCATTTTCAAGCCGCGTACAGCAGAAGACACCGCGGGCTCGCAGGGACAAGGTGAGTGTCAGTTTTCTCTGCAGCCCCGAGTCTGGCTCGGGGTTACCGCTCCTAGCATTGAAAATTCACCCCGAGCCAGACTCGGGAATACCGCCAGGGAGGTTAAAGAGCTGCCAAGAATCTACTATCAAAGAAAAAAAAAACTAAGATTTCAGTGCCCTTGTTGCAAACTTCAAAAATGTATTTCTCTATAATGTCTATAGATACAGACATTAATCAGCGCTTGTTTTAAAGAACTATCACTGCTTGGTTAGAACATGTTAATAACTTATATGTTATACTTATAATACTCTGTGACTTTGTCCATTCCAGAGAGTCTCTTTAAAGCTCACTCCTTAACCCACTTATACCTACCTTACTGTACTCCCCTATCACTCTGTTTTTGTACTTCACCTCTATCCCTTTGTAAGCTTCATGACAGATGGTGTTAAAGCTCACACAGGGTTCATGATTTCACCCTTTCCCTCACATGGCTGTGTTTAGGCCTAGGGACTGGCCTGAGCATTTCATCATGGGAGGAGGTCACATACTCTGTAGCCAGAAGTAGTCTCCAGTGGCACAACAGAGCAGTGAAGTGAAGTGGAGTATAAGTGTGTTGGTAAATGGGCATTAAAGAGAGTTTGCTACCGTGTCCATTCAGTTGCACCAGGCAACAAAGTTCAGTAATAAAAACTTAATGTTAAAAACTATGTTTCCTAAATTGATCATAAAAATTTTAGACATATCTTGTGATGTTTGCATTATTGTTGGTCACATGATGTGAATTTTCATCTTTTTTGTAATGTATCCATTTTTCTTTAGAAACATGAGGGGCAATTCACCATTGCTCAGCTCGTTGGTATGTTGACTGGTATAGCTTCAGGAATGAAGTACCTGACAGAGATGAGCTACATTCACAAGTGCCTTGCTGCACACAAAGTCCTAGTCAACTCTAACCTGGTCTGCAAAATATCAGGATTTCAACATATTCAAGATGATAAACTTGATACGGTGTATTCCACCATGGTACGGAATTCAAATGTAAGAAAAACTTTATTACATATTTTAGTATAGCTAGTCAGTATTATAACTTGAGGTAAAACGGAGCTTATACTTGCTTTTACTAATATCTGTTATCATTATTTGATAAAGGATCTATGTGAACCTGAATTATAAAGAGTTCTTATTCTATTGGCTAATTGATATTTATATGCATTCCATAATATTCAGTGCATTTAGCAGGGAACAGTGAGGGTAATGTAAATTGCAGTAATGCAAAACAATCAGGTTTAAGTTTTCTATACTATTCACTCTGCAATATGTCTTGTGATAGTATTGAATATTGTAATATAATATAAATAATTTAAAATTTAAAATATTATGTTTTGATTGTGTTTCCTAATTTGTGTTTTGACCATTATTTGCCCATAACAGTGATTACTCTTTGCATTTGGAATGTTGCAGGGTAGAAAGAGCACAGTTTTATGGACAGCACCAGAAGCAATTCAATATAATCGCTACAGTACTGCCAGTGATGTATGGAGCTTTGCTATAGTAATGTGGGAAGTCATGTCTTATGGTGAAAGACCCTACTGGGACATGTCTAATCAAGATGTGAGTTGCCATATATTATATATTATCTAGATGCATGTCTAAGGCTATGGATATTGTCTGTGGATTGCAAGGTCTGGCTACACGAACCTGGATATAGTAGAAGAGGTTTTCACACCTACGAGCACCCTGAACATGTTTTCATACATTAGAAAGTAAAATATATGAATGTTTCATGCATAAAGTACAGAGCAGACATGTGCAACTGGTGTTTTATGGGCCGCATGCAGTTCCTTCTCTGAAGTCCTCAGTTGTTTAAGGCTCAAAAAAAGACAAACAAACAAATGCACCCCAGCTGTTCTCTAGTTGATCAACTACACTTTCTAACACCATTTTCCAGCTAAATACTTAAGGAAATGTTTTATGGTCCCTTTATCTGGGACGAAATATCGTAAATTGCAATTTTTACTATAATATTTATTTCCAAAATGTAATTTTTTTCCTGGAATTAAGTAGGTGTGGCCCACACTAGACACAATGTGAACCCTTGAAGATTAACAGGGTTATTCACAAAAGGGTGAAGAGTTTGGAGAAGGCAGGAGAAGTGAACAATCTAGGACAACATAGCTAAACTGGAAAATTATCCAATTCAGCTCACTTTCCAGTTTAGCTATTTTGGCCTAGATTGTTCACTTCTCCTGCCTTCTCCAAACTCCTCACCCTATTGTGAATAACCCCCTTAGTTCTCTTGATTCGGCTCACTTTTTCATTTGAGATTAGCATGTATGGTTTGGAGAGACAGAGAAAGGGAATTTTGAATGTGTAATTTATGTTTTATTACCAAAGGTAATCAAAGCCATAGAAGATGGATTCCGACTTCCAGCACCAGTGAACTGTCCACCTGCTCTCCATCAGCTGATGTTAGATTGCTGGCAGAAGGACAGAAATGACAGACCAAAATTCACTCACATCCACAACATTTTATCCAAACACGGGCAGAGCCCTGAGAAATGCCAGTCTGCAACATCCACAACAACAAGGTGGGTATTTTCTTCTAGTTGTTTGTAAAATGTACTGCTCATTGAAACCCTGGTGGAGACTAATGCCTGATGTGCACTATGGTTTACAACGTAAAGAATTTAATGTTAACATTACACACCAAAGTCCTAAAGCTGGCCTTGTGACTAAATTATTAGAAGGGCATGTACAACTGTCTTTTAAAGCGTTAATGTTAATTGTTATTTAACAATATTTATTTTAATAATACTTTAAAGCTGAAGTTTAATCTGTTTATATTTTGTCTTCCCTGGTCCATGTCCCTCCTGCTCATCAACATGCCCATAAAATGTAAAATTTCTGTTTTCATTACATACCTTATTTTTTTAGACCTAGTGACATCTTCTCTGGGAGGGGCCGGCAGGGTGCTGTACATAGCTCCCCAAAAAACATCATAGCACCCTGACTCAGTACTTCTCTCAAGAGCTCTCAATCCTGATGCAAACAGTGGCCTGGCTCTCGGGAGGAGTTTTGAAAATATCAAAATGCCTTAATGGGTAGATAGCAGTCTGGTGGAGTGGACATTGCTAGGCAGATTGCATTTGCATGCAGATCACCCTAGGTAATGCTCAGATGTGATTCGGAGCCTCCATGATTAAAAGAATTGAAAACCAATGAATAAAATGAATGGGCTAGGGACAGTGATACTGGGGAAGAAAGGGCCTGAGCAGGGGCGTAACTATAAATCACAGGGCCCCATAGCAAAATTTTGTATGGGGCCCTGTGATTTCTAGTTATGCCCTTGCAGAGCCCACCTGATATCACAAACAGTCCACCTGAGAGTGACCCTGCAGAGCCTGCCACCGACTCTCTATGGTGGGCTCTGCAGGGTCTCAGGTGGGCTGCACACCTCTTACCTGTCAACCCTGATCCGCGGTCTGCCTCCATGGATGCTGGCAGGCCCCACCTCCTCCAGCGCCGGGCCCCCGCCTCCTCTTCCGTCCCTGGGCCCCGCTTCCTCCATCGCCAGGCCCCACCTCCTCTTCCATCACCGGGCCCCGCCTCCTCTTCCATCGTCAGTCCCACCTCCTCCTCCGTTTCTGACACAGGGTCCCGCCTTCCTCCTCCACAGCTCCTGGCTGTCACTGACTCAGCAGCGTATGTCAGGAGGAAAGCGCCGCTGCACAATTCACTGACAGGTTGTTGGTGATCTAACAGTGGCAAATTCTTCCTCACACCTGCCAGTGACAGCCAGCAGCTTGAGATGCCATAGCGACTCACGCGGGCCGCACGGCATCAGGGGGATGTCCTGGCTGGGCCTTCCTGTGCCCCATGCCCCATAGCGGCCGCCTGGGTCGCTATGGCTATTGTTACGCCACTAGGCCTGAGGATGCTGAATATCCACCATCCCTCCATCATCTGGCTTGCTGCAGCTTCTAATGAACACTAAGTGAAGCTTACAGTATGCAGAGCAATATGAGTAATCATTTTCAGTATAGGAGAAGAGCCTATACACGTATGTAAGACTGAATCTAAAGCTAGATTTCAGCTTTAATAACGGATTCTTTGTTAACTAAGTATCTCTGGCTATTTCAAGAATTTGTAATGTGCTAGTACAACTCTTCAGCGCTGGACTACCATTATCCAACATATATATGGGTCAGTTTTTCTACTGTATTAAAGTTTAAATTAAACATCTCTTGTTCTTTGAAAGTGTAAAATATGATACTGCTTCAGGTTAAAGGAGACAGGCAATTATTTTTATTGTAGATATTGAATTTCCCAAAAGTTTATAGCTGGTCTTTTTAAAGTGGTCTTGACCATGCCTTGCACTGTTACAAGGACACCGAAATAATACAGTACTTTTTATTTTAAGGAAGTATTAAATCATATAAGTTATGGAACTAACAGGTGATTTTTCTTGTAATTTGCTGTACTAGAAAAGATGATTTATGTAACATCTTAGAATCCTTTTTAGTTTTGTGAACCTGAATATGGCAGCTTTTAGTAGTTATAGATATAGTTATGGGAACAAAAATATTTACTCACTCAAACTGACTTCTACTTATCCCTTCAGTCTATAATGTTTTCAACATTGAACACAAATGCACTGAAACAATTATTCCCCTCTTTTGGCTGATCCCAACCAAAATATGTCATTCTCATTGAAGGCAGTTTTTCCAGCATGTAGTGACCACTGATACAGGTCTTTGTCATGTTGGACTGGGTGTTCATATAATTTAAAATTTATTATGTAGCGCCCCACTGACTCCCTGAGGCCTGAGATGGATGTCCAAAGGGTAGAGAGGGCCGACATCGCACTCTCAGGGGTAGATCCTTAGTCAGTGAAGCGGAATGAGATCAAGAAAGTTGGGCGCCAGTCACTTTAAGTGCCTTTTTAAATGCTTTATTGAGAACAGAATAACTGGGAGAGAGGGTTTATGGTTTCAGACAGCCATAGCATAAATAGTACAGACACCAGACTCACCAATCCCTTCAGACTTCCACAGTGGAGAATCATCAGGAGCACAGGCTGACACTGGGTAATAGAGCAACAGCTCAAAGGGGACACGCATGAAATCTTCCATAGGAGAGACTTGTTCTTGAGGTCTATATTAGCAACTGGCACCTCCTGTAGTCTTAAGGCTTCTCTGGCTCTCTTCCTCAATCAGTTCCAGACCCCTCCAGGGTTCATGTGTGGCCTCCCCCAGGCTGGAGTCAGGCTAAGCACGGGGGTGGACTGGAACTGAGCACATTGCAATCCCCTGAGCATATATGCCCTCCCCCAGCATGCAGCAATGGCAATGAAACTCCCACTGATTGGCTGGTGTTCCCGGGGCGCCAGGGAGAGTTAGCTGTTTGGAGATCAGTGTCCCTGGTTAGCAGGTAACCAGGGACGCTGATCTCACTGCAAGTAGCCGGAGCCAGCTGCAAGATCACGGCTGGCTCCGCCCAGCTGTCAGAAGCAGGCTGTCGGCCGGCCGCTCGGCCAGCTTCGGCTTTCAGCACGGCTCAGCCGAGCTGATGCATATGCGTTCGGCTCGGCTGAGCCGCTTGGCCATGATCGGGAGCTGTACGGGCTATTGTGAATAGCCCGTACAGTACCCCTTCAGTTCTACTGGGGCCGAAGCTAGCCGAAGGATCGGCCGAAGCTACGGCCAGATCCTTCGGCAGCTTCGTGAATAGACCCCATAGACATTCAAAATGTTCTCTCATTGACTGCCACACAATGTAACAGGTTCACACGCCACTCAGGCAGGTACAATCAATAACAGAACACCAGGAATTAACCAAATAATAGCCAACTATAAATCAGCCAGACTGATTACAGCTCTAGCAATGGTACATTTCCAGTAGCCACCCCACAAAAGGTGGTAGGGACCACACTTACATAATTATTTTAACTGTGTGTAATTTCAGTCACTAAAATCACATAGGTTTAATACATTAATGTCCTTTCAAAGGTTGTTTTAAGTCTTTCCAAATCTACATCTTTCATTAACACAATCCCTCTGATCCTGCCATGAAGGTTCTTGCTCAGGCATTTCCTGGTATAGTGTGAGAACACTTTGTTCCTGTCTCCCAACTGTACCCCTGTGTTGTCAGCCTGTCTGGTGGAGTTCATTAATGGTCATTTTAACACATTACACCATGTACAACACAGGCATGGCCCACTGTTATCACTATCAGGGAACCCACCCTGAGAAATGGCATGCAGTCATAAATGGAGTACATGCATGTGAATAGGAAGTTGCTGTAAGAAGGCTGCAGGAGGTCAGCAGTGTCATTCGGGTAAGAATGACATCTACTCTTGACTGTTAACACACTAAATAAAAGTGTTTGTAAAGTGTGTATAGCCTCTGTGAATTGCTATGCCCGGCTAAAAAGTACCACCGATGGTGAGTTTGACTAATAAATTGGGTCCTATCCTACTTGTAAATTATTACTAGATGGTTTTATTTGCAATGGGGCCCAGATGTTCCTTATAAACAGCTGGATGGGTATCATTATATACACATTTCGGATTTATATTTGTTCAGCATATTTGCCTTTAATGATTTGTACTTAACATAGTTCAATGTCTTATTTACATAGAAATTTCCGATAACAGTAAAAAAAGATGTGGCAGAACTGATTGCTTAACTCAGGCTATAAAGACCTCACATGTGCTTCATGTCCACTAGTGTTAGATGGCCAGTGTTGGCCATCTTTCCTGCAAATAAGCTGTCCAGCCGAGCAATGTTAAGTCAGTCTTGTGAATCAGACCTTTTAGAGCAAAGCTTTATAGCATAATCTGTTTTCACATTGGTCGCTTCATACAGCTGAGGATCCTGCTGGCTTTTTATGTTGTTGGTATTACTTGAGACTAAATCTCACCTGTTACTGAAACATTTATTAGTGTAATATCTGTGTGATCTAATACGGGTCAGTTGCTTTCTGCCTGTCTTGCTCTCTCCTGCTTGATATTTTTTTTTTTCATCATCAACATGCACATCTGCAGTGGTCCAGAGGTTGTGCTGTACACAAATCGTATTCCCAGCTGGAGCGTTATCAAGTTAAGTAGAGAGTGTAAGATTTCCAGAACAAGCAAGACCTGAAATGATTATCGCTAACATTTGCTGATGCAGCACTGCTGCAATAGAAGCAAAGCTTCTCTATATCCAAAGACCGTTTATAAATCCATCACTCGAAAAGGAAATTACTTACATTTTCCATTTTTCAGAGAAATATATTTATGGCAAAGAAGAGTTACATAAGCCTTCATGTGTGTTTGCCTTATTGGGTTGCAATGCATTACATTGTGTATCTTTATTTTCTGTGCATCAGTTCAAAAGACTATTATTATAGTCTGAAGAATTCATTAGCATAACCCATGCATGCCAAATGACTGCATTTTATTACAAATGTATTTATTGCTTCCAAAAGCCTGAACTCTTCACTTATATTACAAGCTTTCAGACATTTACTGACCCATCCAACAACTAAATATTGGAACTGCATTCACTAGCTGCATAATGATTTAAAGGAACATCCTAATATGCTT